TGGGTGCAATCCCAAAACATCTGGAGTACCACTTGAAGACCATTGGCATTGATAAAATCACGAACAGTCAATTGCAAAAGGAAGCTTTACTTGGAACAGCTTACATCCTGTGACAATACCTTTAACACCATCAAACAACAACATCTGCCTATCCCAGGTCCTTGGGAAGGACTCAAGGGAGTCCTTGGGAAGGTGGATAAATGCCAAATCCAGTCTAAACATCTGGTTGACTGTATGACCAACCACAACAGATTAAATTCATATGCCACCTGACTCCAGTGGCTCTGGGTGGTTTACAAATTGTTAAACATATTTAAAAATAAGGAACAATACAATAAACACAAAAACAACACAAAACAAAGGAACAAAGATGGTAGAGAAAACAAACCCAGATAGGAACAAAGAAAAGGAAGAAAAGGGGCACCAACCATCCTCGCCAAAGCCCTTTAATAATCCCCAACCCTTTTACCAATTCATTTACCAATAAGTAAAAGGTTCTACCCAATTGGGAATAGTCATATATTGTTTATTATGATATAAGTGTGATCGATGCTATTATTACCTTACTAATAAGATAAGTAATATTACTGTTATTCAACTAAATGAGATTTACATCTATCTAGATATATATTACACTGATAATAACTAGCATTCTAGTTTTGAAGTCCAAGACTGCTCTTCTTTTCAATGAAATAGTAAGACAGATTTGGGTCATAATGGATGGCAAAATCATTGCTACCTGACAGTCTTTCAGGGCATTTTGAACTGAAGCTTGATCTCCAATTCTCTGTCGTTCCTTCAGTTTTGTCTCTTGAGTTTCAAACCAGGTTTTTAGGCTCTGAATATTATTTTCATATTCTGTCCAGGATTCAAGGAAACCTTCCAACAACTGAATCTGAAATATATATACACATCAATATTTCTTAATTAAGCTCAGTCATAAAGTTAAATAAAGGAACAGTTTCACTGGAAAAAGTACATCGGTATTGATCCATGTTTTCTTACAATGTAGTTTGTCATGAATTTCAAAGTGACTCAAAACCTGCTGCACATGTTAAAGTTCCAGTCCAGCAAAAGCAATCAATCAAACTCACTGGAATGACTGATATAATTGGAATGATTAAATTGAACACAATTTCTTCTTGGAACTAGGAACTTCCCTCTCCTCCTCTACCATAGCCATGTGAAGATTAGAAGATTTTACTTTACTGCTTTATGCAGTTGAGTATGATGCTGAGACTAAATTCTTAGTCTGGTTTCTTAAAACAAGTCAAGTTTCTATACCATAGTTTGAATCAACCTTGCCATCAACTCACCTTGTTATGTCTCAGCAGAAGGTTTGTTATGAAAAACAGGAAGTGAATGTTCAATATATTTTTTATTTATTTATTTATTTATATTTATTTAACTTGTCCCCGCCCCTCCCCCCACAATGGGGGACTCTGTGCGGCTTACAACACACTAAAAACATAAATACAATTAAAAGTTATAAAAACCAACATCAGAAACAATTTTCTAACTAAAAGAGATGCTAAGAACACAGTGATAAAGGAAAAACTAAAACATGGCAAATAAGGATATAGAATAACTAGGCAGCGAAAAGTATTGGTTTTACATAATACCTATTGCTTTCAAAGATGATACCATTTACTAAATTAAACAGTGTTATAAAGTAAATTTAAAAAGATAAATATGTCCTGGAATGAAGTTCAACTCCTAGCAACTGAACCCTAGCAGTTTTTCTGGCAACATTATACAGGTGGCATGTCATTGCCTTCTTCTATAAAGATAGGTATACAGTATGTAAGACTGCATTAATTTGCCTTTGTTGATGGATAGTATCTGATTTCACCAGAACAAATTTGCCCATATTGCAGTTGGTAGAATACAGATTACTATCTGTGGAAGGCACAGAGTGTCTTAATTCTTCCTTCAGAGTACAACTTCATATCCATCTTTTTTTTCAATTTTTCTTGCCATCAGACCATATCTTGCTATGTTCACACTATCAAGTTTCTCTCATTACCTTTTCTGTTATCAGACTCTGCAAAATTTGCCAACGCCTATTCATCATTCCAAGTTGTTCGGCAAAATCCGTCTTGTCGCTACGTTTACTTTCCACATCCTGACTACTAATCTGTAGTACTGACTGGTTAACGAAGTCCACAGTTAACTGCTTACAGCTTACATCAATCTTAAAGCCCTGGTGAAAAACAGACAGAAAAGAAACTCTCAAATAATATGTATCATTATCCTAGCACTTAATGCTTTTGAACTTAACACTGTTACATCAAGCTTTGCCAAGACTTCAGTTGTTATGTTGAACAGTATGCTGTACTTTTACTTTGTGACTGTTCATCAAGGAGGAAGGGAAAAATTGTAGATGACCTTCTCCATTTTCGGTAGTATGGTGCTTATCTGATGATAAGTGGCAGGAAACAGCTCTGTTGTCTCTCACAACATTTCTTTGAAAAGAGATAGTTCAGGAAATAATCTTGTAGAGGAAGAAGTCTGCTTATGCAAGCTGAATATTTATACCCAAATTCCCTTCTCTGCAAAACTAGTTGTAAAAAAACTGTGACAATAAAACATGTGGTTGTCTGAAGTGCAGTTCATTTTAAAGTTGTAGGAATAGTACCTTGCACCAATGTAATTATACACAAATACTGCAAATGGCAGAAAGGGATACAACTTCAATTGCCTCGAGCACTTAGTAAGGTAGACACAGCCTCTCTTACAGAAGTACAAATAAACATACACAAGTGGGATCACAAATCATCCTGTCCCAAGGCCAATGCCAGGCCACGATGGCTTTCCTAACAGGTGACAGGAGCCATATGGGTTCATATGGACTTTGAAGGGGGTAGGGGCAGTCACAAAGAAGTCATGTGCCTGGAATCCCACAAGATGGCATTATTCTGATGATCAGACTTAAAATGTGCCAAGTCTGCTTGATATTCCCACAGGGCAGAAACAAGCAGGAAGAGATGGTCCTATAAGTATCCAAGCCCCAAATCATGAAGGGCTTTATAGATGTCATTCAGCACCTTGAATTGCAGAAGCCAATCAGTAACTAGTGCAACTCATGACACAGAGGTGTCACATGGGCAAAACTACCTGTGCTACTGCAGTTCAATTGAAGTTTCAAGTGATCTCAGGAAGCTCCATGTACAGCATGCTGCAATAATGCCTAAGGAGTGCCTAAGGCATGAGTGACTGGATTGGTACACTAGATGTACTACCTGTGCAAAAGCCCTCCTTACTATGGTTATCACTTACTCATCAAGCACAAGCTGACAGCCTAGGAGGACCCCAAATTATGCCTGGCATAATACATTCCTATCAAAAATGAATGTTGAAAATCTATGGAAACAGAAAGTTCTTGTATCCATAGCTACTTGGTCTTGCTAAGACTATGCCTGAGCTTGTTCCTCCCAGGTTCCAGGCATGAAGATGGAACTCAACATCAATGTCTGCTCAGCCCTGGCTCAACATGTATAACTGGTTATCATCACCATTTTGATTATATCTGACCCTTTGCTCCTATATGACCTCCCCCAATGCCCTCATACTGAAGTTAAAAAGGAGCGGAGAGGGTACAGTGCTCTGAGGATCCCACAAAAGAAGTTCCTCAGGCTTGATCTCTTCCCCACTACCAAAACCAACTGGAACCGACCCAGAGAGAGGAGAATAACTGCTGAAGCATTTCCACTTATGTTAAGGAATGTTACTTGTACAGGCAAAAGTCCAACAATGGGATATTACAACCTCCAAATGCAGCTTCAGTGATTAAGTTAATCTACTTGTCTAATACCAGATCCAATGCACTTAAATAGGAGATATCACTGTAAACTGATTTTCTAACTATTCTCAGTTAAATACCTTATATTTCTGGAGGTAATCCTGGATAACTTTGTGTCCTACTATATTTTTTATGCTTTCCTCATCCTTCGAAATAGCATTTTCCATCAAAGTAATCCAACTCATGACTTCTGTGATGGCATGGCGAGAAGGAAGCTTATCCATTTGTAGCTGCAAAAAAGTTAGTCAAATGAAAACCAAGATCCATTACATGCTTCATTTATAATTATATCACTGTGTATATATTATGATGGAGCACATACTGTATATTCAGATATGAAACCAACTTTTCTAATTTAAAAATACTCAGCACACCAAAAAAGAAGGAAAAGATATGCTTCCTGATAGATTTACAAAGATTACTATTCTCTATTTTGCAAATTTGAATATGCTTTCTGCCTATAACTGCCAGGACTTGGATGATACTTTGTCTTTCAATGCAACAATTGCACTATTTTTATATGTGTGTGTGTGTGTGTGTGTATTCAGAAATAAATGATATCAATGTACAGTAATTTAATTCAAAGTAAATAACCTAGAATTAAATTGTTTAGATTATATTATTTACTCAGTTCAATCTATGTGTTAGTAAAAGGATGTGGCATCCGCTTCCATATATTATAGCCCAACACTGTGTTCTTAACTTCCATAAATAGAATCCTTGAAAGTTAGAAAAATATGTCTCAGCTTCTGCAGAAGTGAATTTGAAAACTTATTAATGAACTCCCCTATACCCCATCATATGTTTATTATAGTACTGCTGCTTAATCAATTACCTCCTTGCCAACTAATTATCTCCATTCCAGTGCTAGCATATTCTAATTATCACAGAAAATTAGTGCCAATATAGTCAAATACTACTGCACTGTAAGCACTAATTTTAGAACAGCTGTACTGTGTATCATTAGCCTTTATCGTCACAAAAGCTCTTGTCAAAACCCACAGGCATGTAACCTCTTGCGTCTTCCTTGAGTGAAAGAATCACTGGATCACTGCTAACTCTGAGCATTGCAAAGCACTGGAATTGGAAAAAATGTGCTTGGCGAAGAATATTAGTATAAGTGAAGCATCTCCTCTGGAAAATTTAAAGCAGTCACATCCGCAAGCTTCACAGATCTGCTTCAAAATCTGTCTTCAGCTGACTGCCTTTGTGTGCATGCAGAACTGCTTTGTTTTACTGGCAGTCCCAATGTGGAAATATTAACTGTGCAGGGACATGTGCTGTACACATATACAACTGAGTATAGCCTTTGAGGTAGTTGCATGAGTTTTGTGAAGGCGATCGTTGTTGTTATGCTTCAAGGAAAGGGACTTTGCTCATACTAACACTCTGCAAAGGATTTGTTTGGAAAGCTTTGCACAGTCTTGGTAGCCACTATAGAAACATTGAAACTACTGCCCCAGTCATGTGGATGGAACCATGGTTGAGAAGCAAGGCGTAACTGAAGTATAAAGACACATCAGCATAGCAGACTGTGTAAATAGCATACCTTATCCCAAAGAGTATTGCTATATAAGCATGGCACAGATGTCCCCAAATCTCTTAATTCAAAAAAGCAGGTGGAAATTGCAAGACATTTAAATGTTAAGGCTGACAAATGTATAGAGCTTTATTCCTCAGTAGTTCAGTATGCAGACCTTTGAATATATATGACTATTTTTTATCTACAATAAAACAACTTATCTAGCTGTGTCAAGTCTGTGAAGCTTTTGCAGTTATCTAATTCCTAAATGCAGGGTTGAGTTTCTGAAAAGAAGAAATTTATAGGCAATGCCTGTCTGGAAGACTGACAGAAACAATACTAATACATATCCACCTGTACGTTAAATGAAATCATATATAATGACAAGAATTTGCCCTACCTGGTGCAGTTTTTCCTGCACTACTGGAATCTGTATGAGCAGTTCTGTCCACTGATTGTCAATTTGTGATAGTCCAGCCCTCAAAGATGCAGTATCCACTTTCTTCAGCCGGAGAAGATGATTTCCAGTGCTCAGAACAGTAGATTTCTGGGATGACTTTGCATCAACTTCTTTGGAAAATTCCTGAAATAATTGTAACTTATCGTAACTAGTTGATGTAAGCAGTTTTAGCAACAAACTTGGAGTATGAATGGAACTTAAATGGATCATTTTCATGAAAATTAAAACTGCACAGCACTGCAGTATATGCATGCACAATTATTTAGCCAAAAAATATACAATACTTCTGGATACTGCTGTTATGAATATATGGGAAAGCAATGTGTTACTTTTTAAAAAATTTTCCGCAACTGAAACAATTATGTTACTAAACAATTGCGTTATGAAACATAAAGGTGGCTCAATTTTTTATTCATACCTACCAAAAATGCATTCAAGTGATCTCGAATCATTTCTAGTTCTTGAGGGACTGTAATAGATTGCTGGGTCCAATATTCCAGACGGTCCATGGCTGACTGGAGCCAATGAATCAGCTCAGCTGAGTCACTTTGATATCTATAAAGAGGATGAAGGACAAACGTATTTCACGTTAAGCTACAGATATTCAGTAGTCTCTCATGAATTCACTCTCTTGTGAATTAAAATATTCCTGATAAAATATTTTATCTTGGAAACTGAAATTAATTTAAATTTCACTGATTATTTTGATGTAAAATTATGTACTAAGTCACAAACAACCACCTGAAACATGTATACCATCCAATTTCAATTTCTCCCTTGGTAGGAGTAGGCAGATTTTATATACCACAGTGACTTTCTTGTTTGAAAAAGCAAATGGCAGTCAAGAGCTGTTTTACTATGTCATCTGAGTGTTACACAATGAACCACAGAATTGGATTCTCTCCGTCCCAAGAAGGTATTTTATAGTTTTTTTCTACTGTATCTTGGGTTCCACTGTTTCTTAATATCTTCAATTTAGAAATATGATATTTCTAAAGTAAAACAATGCTTCTGCAAGCCAAATTTTGGAGATGGAGGGAAAATATAATTAATTTAGGCTGCTTTGGCCTATTTGAATGACAATTAATTCTTTATGATTCATTCATTTATTCATCAGTCAGTCAGTCATTTTACAGTTTTTATAGCCTACCCAACTCAAAACATTTTGGATGAGTTATATCCAATGCAGTCAAATTATAAAGCAACCACAGCAATAAATCAAAACTATATAAATCCATGGTAATAATAAATCAACCCTTCCATGCCAATAAAAGTTACCTAGGGTTGAAGGTTGAACTCTAGCATACTTTTCCTGGAATTCTCTCGAATTTCAAATCAAAGAAATAAAACATACAGGTAACTGTATTGATGAAATACAAAATAATAAAGAATCCAAACCCATTCTTCTTTCATTTCATTAGCAATACCTTGTCCAGAGTTTAAGTATAGTTTCCAATCTGTGTAGTTCCTTGGTAACTTTGTTGGTAGTATTTAACCAATGCTCCCCTAGCTGGTTCAGTTGAGTTTCCAATTCTGAACATGTGACAGAGAACAGTAGTCTTTTCCCATCATCCAGGACTTGGTAAAGTTTGGGTTGGTGTTCAGTAAGACTAGATTTCAGGTGCTTTAATGACAAAAGACAATATGACATAATATAAAATTGTAATGATTTTTCTTTTCTTACTATAACCCATTAGGAAAAAGGAACATTCAGTCTTACCATAAAGGATGCTCCTTGTTGATGAGAGACCCTATATATGGACTTCATCAACTTATCCCAGTCCAAGAAACAGGAAATCACTTTATATATTTTTGATCCTCCCCCCCTCCTGATGCAGCCCTACCAGACTGTTTCCCTAAATAAGCCATAAATAAGAGAAGGAAAGTTCATGGGGATAAAAAAAAAAAAAGACTTCAGTATCTAAAACCTAAAAAGAAAAAAAAAACAGTCCGAAAAGTAGGTCTGAAAAGCAAAAGAGCGTGAGAAGGGGAAAGTTCATTTATTCTGTTTACAATAACAATTGATACAAGAAAAATAAAGATTTGTAATAGGCAACCATTATAGTAAGAACCCATATTGTTTTCCCTGTTGGCATGGGAGGGGACAAATATATGAAAGAGATGTAATAACTGAAGTGAGTTATTATGATTGTTGATTACTTTTGCAAGATTTGTAGACCCTCCCAATCCAAACAGAATCTGTTTGGATTGGGAGGGTCTACAAATATTGCAAAATAAAATATAAAATAAATAATTTTCTGTATTTTGGAAAATGTGGAAAATGAACTTCATCTCTGAGATAAAGGTAAGATAGGTAAGATAGTTTGAATATCACTGTCTTGTGAAAAACGGAAAAATATTTACTGAGAGATTACATTTTAAATGAGAGTAATCTTAGAGATCCTGACTTGAAAGTTTTAAATGCAGGATTGTATAGTATTCCCAACTTCAAAACTGATGTACCAGTGGACAGATGAGTGTGAGTATACTTTCTAACATAAGCCTTTTTTCCACTTGTGAGGGCACCCAATTTAGAAAAGGCCAGATGAGGCTTGTATCTTAAGGATGTTGGGGATGTATTTATTTAACGTATTAGAATATCACTTTTCATTAAAAATCTCAATGCTATTTATGACAAAATTAGCCACTTCTGCAGTCCTACTGGGAGAAAAATCTTTTTATTTGCATTATCCAGTGAAGATTTTCTAGGTTACCTCATAAACTCAATGGCTGATGGTTTTCTCAAGAAAAACATGATGTCTAAGACCTCTGACCATCTAAATTTAATGCCCTTTCTCCTTTTAGTTTCCATGCAGTTAAGTGGAGCCCTTTGGTATATGAATTTTGATATCCCAGACCTCAATCTGGAATATCTGGAATAAACCGTATGTTGATTCATTATCCCCAAAGCCAAAATGATAAGGGTTAGTTATAAAGTATCAGTACTACTATCTTGTGCACCCTTCTGACTTTGCAGAGGGACTCTTCCTGGAAAGCAAACTAGGGAATTTATTTTATTTATTTTTTACTTTATTATTACATTTATATGTCGCCCATCTCCCCCAGGGAATACATGTAGGAGCCTATTGGGACAGATTATAGCCCCTCTGATGGGAAACTGGAGAAGAACCTCAGAATTTTGCAGATTATTGTATGGTAAGTAATTTCAAAGCAGCCAGAATAATTCAGGTTCTGTTCTGGCTGTTCTAGATCTTTCCTACTCAGTCGGCTTGCTCTGATTCTTCTGACATAATGTGCAATAGATAGAAGCAATGTGCAATTTGGTCCAGGACAGAAGAGTAGGTAAGGAATGATATTTAATTCCTCCTTGTTTATTTTTGAAGGCTTATGCCAAAGAATTGTGTGTTCTGACTAGAAGCAAAAGCAAATTAAATACAGAAGAAATCTCTGTATTTATTTTAATTTTTTTCTAGAGAGAAGTAAAAACCAGTTACTCTCACTTAAGTAAGAAAGTAACTGTGGGGAAGAGCAAAAGTGTGCTTGTTGAGCTGAAGAGAATGATGGAGTCCACCTGTGCACTTTCCCACTAAGGGAGAACAAATGAACACTTTTACAGTAATGAAATGCTACACATTTCTACATACTTTATTGTATAGACATTGTTTTCCTAAGAATATGCATTCAAAATATTGTCCAAAGACATCACTTATAATGCACAAAAGTACTATATAAGAGGCTTCAAACTGCACAGTATTGGTGACAACTATAATACTTATTAGTAAAACACCAGGCCTGGTAATTTGTTTCAATTTTCTTCTTTGTATACGTATGGGTGGCAATTCAGAGAAATATATATCAGAGCTTGTTCATGGTTAATGGATTCTTTTTTTCCCCCTTTACTCAAACACCCTATCTTTCCATACATGCATATTCAAATACATGCATTCTCATATACATGCATACCATACATGCATACTCAAATCCCTACATTCCATACACTTATACCATCTTGCATCTAATGCTGCAATTGTATGAGTTGACTTTTAGCCTAAATTAACTTAGAAATTAGTTGCCACAGAGAATGATCAGGGTATTGTCTTGGATGGCATTTGCAAAGGAAAAACAAATTCCTGGAGGATGAGTCTAACAATGATTGAGATCTAGGACAACTATAGAGAACTTTATTTCTAATATATAACATCCAGTCATGATTTTTTTTTCTTAATAAATGATAGGTGTAGAGAGAATCATCTATACCTATAACACAGCATCTGGGGCAGAGAAGCTTCTCTTTCCTCTCCTTAGGATAATCAGTAGCAAACTGTAACTAAAATGGGGCTTGAATACTTATGGAGAAAGTTTCCACTGGTATGCACAAGAACTATTCCTGACTACAGTTTATAATGTTCTGTACTTTTATATGTATGGTCTTGCTACGAGTAGAAGGGATAAGCCTTTTCTCTCCATGTACTCGTTCCCAGAAAAGATTAACCAAGCTCTGGGCCTGCAATATATGCAACTTACTTAATTTATGTCTAACTAATTTATCTAATTAATGCAAGAAACAAAATCACACAAAAGTAGGTTTGATCACAGTTGTCCTCTCCATTCTTGCCTCCTGGTAGTCATATTCAAGGTTATAACAGATCTCATAGGGAGAAAAAAAATAAACCTGTTCTTCTCATGCACTGCTTGAAGAGAATCAATCCCTCCCATGTATGCCTAATTAGGTAGAAAATTATGCATACATTTACATTGGATTACATACATACATCTTATCATTTTATCAAATAAATGTCTACTCTGATTTTTAGTATAATTGCACAAAATCAAGAAGATAGTTAACATGATGTCCTGCTTGTATTCTCTCTGAAACGTCTGCCCTGTGTTATAAACTCAGCTAGATACACATTTGGTCTGATCCAGAAGTCTCTTCTGTTCTTAAGTACAGCCAGGAGAGGGCAAGGGGAATTGCAAAATCACCACTAGAAAGTGTGTATGTACAAAATATGCAGGAATGCAGATAGGACATGAAATTGATGTTCTTTATGGCTTGGTAATGCATCAGCAATGAAATGATAAAACAACTGCCATTACCTGATAAAGTGCAATCCGGTCTGTAAGCCTTTCCTCAGATTCCTCTACCAAACCAACACTAGGAATGCTGGTTTCAACAGCCTCCAGCTGCTGTGTGAGTTCCTGATAATCATCTTCTAGATGCGTCCAAGTCTGTAAACCATATATACATATCATATATACATATCAAGTAGTTTCTCAGTGTTTTTCAAATACACCTCTAACAGAAAACTGCTCAGCACTGAACTGACTGAAATAGGTCACCTCAAAAATCTGGCACCTCTGATTTTATTGTATTCTAGGGACCTTGAAATGTTCTGACCATGAATCAGCCATCTTGAGCATTCTAAATTCAAAACAAAACACATCGTGAGTTTTGCTTTGAGATTGGAACAAAAAAGCATGATTTGGTCTTATCTCAGAACAAAATGTGACCATTTTAACAGGAACTATTTCAAGTATTCCCACTTTTCTGATTACTGCTATTAACTATTTGGGTTCCCTTTTTTCCCAAATTTATTTTGGTACTTTTCTATTGACGTAAAAGGAGGTGGTCCTATACTTTAAATTAACCTTTTTTAAAAATGAGAGCGGAACCATGTATTCTTTGTTTCCTACAGAGATTTATTTTATAGTTTCAAAAATGTTTCAAAATACTCTTTTTAACTTTTTCTTTTTTTGCTAGTTGGTTGTTCAGTATGGAACACTCAACTGACTTGAGCAGTTTCAAGTTTCAAGAGAGGTACACCACAAAGCAGCTCATGCTGTCTCTGAAGATACAAGCCACATCTGCTGGTGAAACGTCAGAACAAAAGAAAACTAGACCACTGCTGTTCAGCTCAAAAGGTTATCACTGTTTTAGTTTCAGGTTTCATTTGGGTGGAAGACTGTTGCAAGATTTGCATAGAAATTCTAAATAGCCCTCAAATAAACATAATGAGCTAGATGATCCTATACTTTTATTGTCTCTTGATACATTAAGCAAGGATGAATATTTAACTTGAAGTAATCAGAAAAAAAAAGGATAAAGTGCCACCTCTTCCTTTACCAACCTTTGTTTATTTGCAGTTCCCTGATTTTTTAAGTATATTCATCCAGAAAGAAAAAACAGGGAGGGATAAACATATGTAAATTAGGGGAAATATATAGATAATATGTGAAGATTAGGGAATATTCATTGCAAAAAGAAATTTGGAAAATTGGATACAAGAATGTGTACATTACAGAAGTATATACAAAAATTGGTACACATTTTTGAGATTTTTTGCCAAATAAATCATATGTTTATAATAAAAAACTAATATGAAAATGGGATGGAAGATGAATTTTTAAAATGATTTTGGAATAGCTCAAATGACTTTGAACTTGTACTTCAAAGTATTTGATGTTTTCAGGAAACAAATTTCTCCTATCCACAAACTTTTGTATAACTTTTCTTAAGAAACTGCTACTGGCAAACTGAATGAAACAAGTTAAAATTTACCCATTTAAAACAAAGGAAAAAAAACCCCTTACCTCTAGAATATATTCCAGCTCCACTCCTTTCTTATGAGCTTGTTTTAACACTGCAGAGCCTTGTGCCATTAGATCTACATGGATCTGAGTTTCCTTCATAAGAGCAAAGCTGCTTATTTTTCTAAAAAGTGTTTCTGTGAGGATCATGTGTGCCTCTAGTCCTTGGAAATATTCCTGAGAATATGATCATTATTTGTTATTAACCTGGATAAATTCATTAGTATTCAACACTTCAATATGATTATATACTACTGTAGTACAAACCATCTAAAATTTTAACCTCCTAATCGTCCGTGTCACATTTATGGAACAGACTCCGCTGCAGAATTTATTCAGAGTATGCATCTTTCTTACCTAAAAAACTTTTATCTTTAAGAGAAGGTTGAATTTATATTCCTTCCTCACAAGCATACTAGGAATCAGAATGTTTGTTTTGTTTCAACTCCACATAAGAAACAAGTATCCTTAACATTTTTAAATAATGTGTTTTTGCATTTAAACTCCTCTATATCACAAGACAAAATAGCAGTGTTTATACAAATACATCCAAGATTAAAACACAATTTTGAAACATAGTTATTTAAAATATACACTCTAGTTACTGCACTAACAAAACTTGTTTACTCCTTATGGAATATATTCCAGCTGGGAAATCTATTCCATTATGACTCAAGCCCTAATCACCTTGCACTTAGACTACTACAATTCACTTTATATGGAGCTACCCTTTAAAACAACCCAGAAGGTACAACTGGGACAAAATATAGTGGCTTGGCTACAGATGATTACATTTTAAGGAATTACAGCTGTCCTTCAGTTACCACAATGGTTGCTAACAGAGATCCATAGGGTTCCTACCCTGGACATTCATAAAGTCATTGAAAATTTGGCTGTTATCCCAAGCGTGGTTGAGTCCCTATAGGGTGTTTTGAGAATTTGCCTTCTGGATCTCTCTATTATTTTTTAAAAAGTGTAAGTTGCCCAGAGTTGTTTGGAGTTGGGTAGCCTCTAAATTGTATTAAACAAACAAACAAAGAAATAGGTTTCTGGGCCCAATCCAAGGTGCTGGTTTTAATTTATACAGTCCTACATGGCTGGAAACCAAGACTGTCATGTCTTAAGAATGGCTGCCAAGAATCTCTACCTCATGTAAGGTGAAAGAAGTGGCAATCCAAATTAGGGAATATTTTGCCTCCTTGAGGTACGTGGAGCCCCCACCTTCTTTGCTTTTTGCAATCAAAAGCATTTTATTCTGACAGGTTTCTGGTGCAGATGATGGACAGGGGCTGCCTTGGTAGTCTGTTTTCCATGGTTCAGGGTTTTGTTGATTATTTTCATTATGCCTATCTTTTGTATAGTCCTTTTATTATACAAGAGTCATTTATTATATGAGTCTTTTGAGGTAAGTATTTGCATAAATAAATGAAACTTTTTTTAATGATCATTAGCTTTAAAATTATTCCAAACAGCATTTAATCACATTGAAACAGCTACTCTCTTTCTAGACTGGATAACAGGAGAATTACAGAACAGGACTTTATTGTATGACAGCAATAGAGAACTCAGTAAATTATAAACATATGAATTGCATTTACCTTGTGCTTGTCAAGAAGCTGTTGGATTTCCTCTTTGGAGGCAACTATCATTTTTTGATCAACTGCCATCTTTTCTTTCCCAGTTTCAGTCAGGTCAGCCAGATCCTGCAAAGCTTGTTCATATTGACCTTTTAGTGCCAGATTTTGGTTCAGTCCACTACGCCGTGATCCTATGATCATGATCAACTCATCATACATATCCTGACATAGGAAAAGAAAAAGCAAAAATTTACAATCACAGAAAAAAAAAAGAATTTAAATATCAATAATGGCTACATTCTGTAGCTCCATTTGTTATATGGTTCTGTTGTTTTTTATCAGAAAGCCTTAGAACAAATTGAACCAAATCATCCAAAACAATGCATTTTGTAGTCACTGAATTATGAAATTGTCTAAAGGAATCCACTGTGTGATGGATCAAATGAGATTTCAAAACTCATTGTTGCAAGTGACTGTACTGTATTGCACTGTATTGTAACTGATTGTAACAAGTGATTTTAACAGAGTCTTTTGCATAATAATTTTAAGAGTTCAATTACCATCACATCTGTCTAGGAAGTCTCAGGGCAGGTAATGGCAGTCAGGATAAGTGAGCTAAATATGAGCTACGTTAATTCCTTATGAGCATTACATTTCCACCAAAATTTTGTTTTTGAACATTAGTTGACAGATGAGGCAAACTCAACGATTTTTGCAACCCTCTGAAATTATTTTACATCTGTTTCATATTAAATAAATTTCTTATGTATAAAGTATACATAATTCATTAGCACAAAAAGGAAAGCAAATACTATGTTGAGAATTGCAAACATTCCAATAGTTTTGTTACCTGAAGTTTGGATAACTCTTGCATGAAAGATTGATCAATTTGCAGTTTATCTCCACGTTTCTTCAGTTCAGTGATTCCTCCATCTAATTCTTTCAGTCCATGTTCTACTTGCTCAATGGCCTATGTAAAGAAGAATATTTAACTGTAATATCAAAAGAAAGCTAAATTTCAGGGACCCTTGATGTCAAAAATGGAAATTCAGTAGAGATGTTGAGGTTGCTCAGTGTGGTCTGATACTTATATGAGATAAAGCTAAAACTAAATAACATTCTAAACTGTAGTCTGATTGTTAAATGTTAAAATCAAAACAAGAAGTCTCTCAATGAGAAACACTTATAAGAACAGAAAGGTATCTATATCTATCTATGAAGTTCAGTAGTATCAGATAATCTTTCTCCCTACAGAAAATAATTCATTCACCACTTTCCAATGCTATGTAGCCAAAGAAGAATTCTGATTGCATTCCATTCATGAAAGACAAAAGAAAGGCTCAAACGTTTGGATAACAAGCTGTGGGAACCATTATTAGTCTCAGTGAACATTTTGGCTTCTTCAGGAGCATGCTCATTATTTTTGTCCACATTTAAATGCTCCTCTAATTTGCCAAGTAAGAATTCACCGTTAATTTTACATATATTTTCTGCTGTAGTGCTGTTCAGTCAGGTTAAGAAATGTAAGTGCATACTGTACATATAATCTACACAATGTAAGAAAAGAAAACTAAATTGTTACTGAAATTTATTACACTGCCAAAGAGAATTTTTTTCAAAGGCATGTCTATTTACTCCCATACAAAAAGTATTTCAAAGTTAGGCATTATTTATTCGTTAGAATAAATACTGACAGGCACTGCCTGTACTCTGGATACTATCTTCTAAGTAATTTTTTTGGTATTCATTATACTGTATCTTTCTTCAACCTTATGAATATAAAAATACAATAGTACCTGTATTTGTTCTGTTTCAGGACGTTCAACTGCTTCTGCTAGTTTCTGCAGCGCAATATACTTATTATCAGCCAATAAAGTAAACATCAACTTCAGGTCATTCTGTTGGTGATTGAAAAAAAAAGAAAAGTTAATTATATGAAAATAACAAAATGCTTGTCATTATTGCCCAAAGCTTTTTTATTGCTCAACTTTTTTTCCTTGTGGTTTGTGATAACAGGCACTTTTCTAGTGATAAAAACTTTGAGCACTAACTCAAATCTTCATTAGAGACTGTTGTGAACCAGAGGAATTCCCACTTCCTGTGCAGTTACTAAGTGACTAGCAGCACTCAACTTGTACTGTACATCGTGCTGATAGCTCTAGTCAGGAAAAAAATACTATGCTAATTCTAGTGTGTCATTAAATTGTTACTTAATGAATCACCTTTGTAGTTCAACAGTTTTTCAAAACAGCTCAGAAAAGCACCCCATTTTCAAGTACCACACAACTGTTTAACACTGGGTCAACTTTTAAAACAGTCGGTAATGCTGAACAATGTGGCTATTATTGCCTTGCTACTTAGTACATTTCTGAAAATAAAGTTCACACTGTGTTCATACAAGGGCTACCAGGTTTACCTTGGAGTTTTGTCTGGGGATATTGACATGGCAATCATGTAATTTTTGGCATCTCTGTTTATTTACTTATTTACCTCAATATGCCTTGGAAAAATTGGTAATCTTTGTACTGAGCCCAATCCTGGAGGATCATTCTGAGACTGAACATATTGCAGACATAGCATCTGACATACCACAAACAGCAATTGGGTCTTTTTACTACCATATTTTTACATAAACTTCTGATAGCAAGACAGCATCTATAGAAATATATTTTGTGTGTGTGTGTGTCTTGTGTGTACCTTTGACTCAGTCCTGACTCCTAACGAGTCCCTACAGTTGGCCATTGTATTCTTCCTAGGGCTGATAGAGTGACTGGCCCAAAGTCACCTGGCTGGCTGTGTATCTAAGGCGGGACTAGAATTCAGTCTCCTGGCTTCTAGCCTGGTGCCTTAACCACTACATCAAACTGGTTCTCAGAAATATAATTGGATTACCCACATTTCAAAATGTATCAGTACAGAGGAATTCTTAAGAGAATAGGACAGAATCTACCTGAAAATTCAGTATCTGCTGGAGTCTCTCTTTCATATGCTGGCATCTTTGGTTTACTAGTGTCTCTAGTAATGTTAATCTCTGTAGCAAACAGTCCAAAGTGTCTTCTATAACATCTCGATTATCAACACTCTCAGGAAACATGTGAGAAAATAAATCCTTGCTCTTATCCATTTTTTCTGTCATTTCCTTGATATCTTTAGCAAGAGACTAAAATGTATTCAAATAAAAACAACATGCTCTTAAAATCAACACTCTGAAAAAACAGATGATCAGAGATGATTATGAAAACAAATAATATACAGGTAGTCCTCAGGCTATGACCACTCATTCAGTGAGTGTTCAAAGTTACGATGGCGCTGAATGAGTGGTACTTACGACTGGTATTTGGAGTTACGGCCATCGTAAACATCCCTGCGGTCATGTAATCGCAATTCAGGTGCTTGGCAACCAGCTCACACTTATGACGGCTGCAGCATCCCACGCACCCCCCATGTCACTGCCATTTGCAACCTTCCCTGCCAGCTTCTCACAAGGAAAGTCAATGGGGAAGCCAGCAGGGAAGGTCACAAGTTGCTCCCATAAGTTGCTCCTGCTGCTTTTCCCCAGAGGATCCCTGGGATCTCATACTCTGTAGCACCTTCCCTGCCCACCCACACTCCATAGAGTGCCCACCCACAGCACCCCCCTGCCCACAGTTCTGCTTACCCGCCAGTGCTCTGTAGCACCTTCCTGCAGCACCCCCCAACCCCCCATGGCACCTGTGTACCCCCTGAGCTCCATAGCACCTGCCCACAGTCCTCCCGTAACACCCGCGCACCCCCTGTATTCCTTGACTGGGACTCCCACCTCTTCCTGTTTAACAACCCGTGTGGTCCTGGGGTTATAACTGCAACTGGGACTGTTGTTGCTAACCAATGTGGTCATGTGACATTGTGCTTTACAACCACATTGCTTAGTGATGGAAATTCCAGTCCCAATGGTCGTCATAACCCAAGGACCACCTGTATGTTCCCCCCCCCACAAAACGTGTTTCTTATTCATATTAGCAATAGGAGTAGCTATAAGAATTATATCTCAAATCTAAACAAATTTATCCAAATCCAATGGTTCTAAAAGCTCATGGTAAATGTTAGGTGAGAAGGATGGTCACAATATCTCATTTCTCTCTTGAGTATATGAATCATAGTTTCAACAAATCACATAGGCTGTTCATTTATTTTCCAAAGAGTGGTATACCTGTGGCCTCTTACTCTATGGCTTATTTTGGATAATGTATGTGTTGCTACAGTCTAAGAAACCAATTTGGTCATACCTGGAAATGACTTGGTCTACTTTGATTTATAGTCTAGGAGTGCAAAGGGCAGCACTATACCTTTTCCCTAACAATGGAACACTTTTCATCAGCAGATGTCTGCCACAACCACACAGAAGTTAGTTTCATAAATGTTATGATATACCTTAGGGACTGACTTTAATGCAAATGAAATACCCTTTTCTGGCATAAGGTTCAGTAAAGGTGCAAAGGTTTTTTGCATCTACTCTTCATGATTAATGCTGATAAACATATCTTGTATAGCCTTATCTTTCAGTAAATGAAAAAGGGTCAAATTTAACTGATGGGTTAATGGCTCTCTTACTTCTTGATTATCAAGGCAAGTTTCTGTCACTTCTGGTAATAGGGCCGTGGCAACCAACAAATGTTCTTCAACACCATCTAGCCAGGATGAGGTGGCTGAAACGCCACTGAATAGCTTTTGCTCAAACTGCAGACTCTCCTTCTCTGCACCTCTAGCCTGAATAAATGAACAAAAAGGAAAAGAGACAAGACTGTTACTCTAGTTAAATATCTGGAGAGAGATGGGGGGGGGAAGAGTTTGCAATTATATAATTTTTAAAAATCAACTAAAACTTGTATAACTTACTCTAAAAAACTGTAAGATTTTTAAATGAACAAAACAAAATATTCTACCTGGGAAGGAACACTTTTAAAAGCCTCATTCAAACCAACCAATAAAGATTTAACTGATGTTTTATCTTGAGTCTGCCCTTCTTCTTTGTGCAGCGACATGCCAGACATAAGCCTGTTTGGTCTACTGTAAACCTGTTGGGGGGAAAACCGATGATTAAAGTATTTCAGACACATGAGAAAAATAAATGAAACTTTTTTTTTCTTTTCCTTATCCTGTTAGGGTTGTTTAGATATTTATTTATTTAACAGCATTTGTATACTGACCCAATTGAAAAACACTAGACAGCAAACTACAAGGACAGCATTATTAATCAACAATTCAAACATTATAATTTGCCTTGCCCAAGCCAACTCCACTACCTGGCCTGATCATCTCGAGAAGTCCTCCTGAGAGGCTGTCATCTTTGTAAGGCTGATGGAATTTGTACAAGTTGGCAACTCTTGGACAAGACGGCCACAGATTATGGAACATGAATGGCTTCTCCACTTCTAATATTCTAGAAGATTGTTAAAACCCTCCTAATCTTGATTAGCTGTGGACGTTCCTCTGTGTATCTTCTTGTATAATGTGGGGGCTATTACTGAGTTGGTCTGCTGTAATTCAGAACCTAAGAGAGATGTACTGACCATCTGCACATTCTCTAACCCCACAGCAGGCCTTACTCATATCTGAATATTTATTTTTGATCAGGGAAACTATTAATCTCCTTGCCCATTCACAGGGGGTACTTGAGTAAAAAAATCTGAAAAAGTCTCTATCTTTAAAAGCTGAGAGATAAATTGGTTTTTAAAGTGAAAACAGTCCAGTTGCTGAAATTTCTGAAATCTTATTTCATTCCTTTACAATAAACCTTATTAAATGAAACTCCAGGAAAATTGCATGCCAAAAGCTTGGCACTTGCCTTCTGGTTCATAACTCTTTCATTGTCACATGGGAGTGGAAATTTCAGCAGGCCCTCTTTCAAAGTTTGGACCAGATGGCTATAATCACGCTTGGTAAAGCAGTCACTAAAATAACTAAATACTACATCATATGTGGTTATAGATAATAACCAGCACCGTGAAATGGTGAATCTAGTGCAGCAACCTCAAGATAAGGGTAATTTTAGAACAGACGGTTGCCCCTGCTAGCAGTCTGCCTGATGCACCAGCTGCAGCTTCTGAGTGTCTTCAGAGGCAGCCCCACATAAGCTGTGTTGCAATAGTTAGATGTCAGATGGATTTTTCTTTTACATTCTGCGTAAGAAACATTGCTAAGCTACACCTTTAATACTGTTCATGTGAAAAATGCCAAAAATAATTCTGAAAGGCTACTTACTGGCTGCTTTTGTTCTTGTTCCAGTGCATTCTGCAGAAGCCTGTGCTTAATGCTGAATTCTTGATTAAGGCTTTCCCATTTCATTTTCATTTGATCTTCAACTGATGGCTTTTCCCCTTCTAAGCTCAGCTCTTCCGTTAGTGTATCTGGCTTCCTGCTATCATATGAAATATAAATACAAATCATGATGGTGGAATTACAGTGATTGTACAGTTAGCATTTCATATGAACAGAAAACCATCAGAATTTCATTGACTTCTCAAATCATGCAAATTAGGGTGGATTGTTGGAAGGCACTACATGAGGATACAAATTTTCATATAACAGGACCTGACAATGAGCTTGGTGGCAGCTCTCTTCTCCTCCACAATACTTGCTTTTGGCTATACAAAGAATTATGCAGATATCTGAAGCACTTCCAGACTAAAATTGCAAAATATCTTTAGAGGGAAACTTGTTTTGCTGGAACTTGATGCAATGGACTTTGCATACAGTGGATCAAATTTGTAATGCGATTTACATTGTTACACAAATGACACCATTTGCCTCATTTTATATCATTTCATTATGCAAATCACCTAAATGATTTATCCCCCCCCATCATTACAGAAATACAAATTATATAACTGAATACAAATGATGTAATCTGTTCCATTTGCATGATAATATCTTCATGCAAATTATGTAAATCCCCCCAATGTCCTTCTTTCCAATGCAGAGGACATTAATGAATAACAGATAACCCCACCCTTAATTGTTCCATTAAAATGAGGTATTAATCTATCAACCACTGGAGTTGGGTGGCCAATAAATTTAAAATGATCATGATGATGTTATATTGCTGTTTAAAACCATTTTCCATATTGATAATATAAAGGAGCTAAGTAATAAATTTATTTTAAATTAATCTAACAATTCAAGAGGAGTTGTAAATTAAATATAGTAAATATTAATGAGTTGCTAAGGCTAAAGTTTTCAGGTACAATAAATTTATCCTAAACTATGCTGAAAAATGCTACAGGTAGTCCTTGCTCAATGACCATTTGTTCAACGCGTTTGAAGTTACAACAGCCTTCGGAAAAGTGCTTTATGACCTGTACTCACACTTACGACCATCACAAACCATCGCACCAACCCCCACGGTTACATGATCGCGATTTGTGACCTCTTTTATGACAGTCATTAAGGTTTTTATGACAGTCATTAACACCATGGTTGTTAAGTGAATCACATGGTCATTAAGCAAATTCTAGCAAAAAGCATTCATTGGGGAATCTGGATTTGCTTAACGGCCATGTGATTCCAATAGAGGCAAATATGTGTAGCTCAGGGTTGAACTGTGGAGTCCTTGGGGTTCTCTGAGCTTGGTTCTTTTCTTGCAAACATTTCATTACCCGACTAGGTAACATCTTCAGTGCTAAAATGGGATGGGGTTTGCTCTCTATTTATATACTGTGCCATGCTTTGCCAGTGCTGGTGGGGGTGGGGGTTTTGTTTTGCTCCTCTGGTAGTTCCTTGATTAGCATATGTTTACTGTTTGATTGTGTGCCTGGTGGTGATTGCTGGTGAGGCGATCTTCTGGTCTTTTGTCTCTTTTGAATAGTATGTAGATACTATTTAGCTGTTTTTTTTTTCTTGTCCTACTGGGTCTTTTGGTTCACTTAAGATATTTTGGAGTGAGTCCTTGGGGTTCTCTGAGCTTAGTTCTTTTCTTGCAAACATTTCATTACCCGACTAGGTAACATCTTCAGTGCTAGAATGGGATGGGGTTTGCTCTCTATTTATATACTGTGCCATGCTTTGCCAGTGCTGGTGGGGGTGGGGGTTTTGGTTTGCTCCTCTGGTAGTTCCTTGATTAGCATATGTTTACTGTTTGATTGTGTGCCTGGTGGTGATTGCTGGTGAGGCGATCTTCTGGTCTTTTGTCTCTTTTGAATAGTATGTAGATACTATTTAGCTTTTTTTTTTTTTCTTGTCCTACTGGGTCTTTTGGTTCACTTTTTGGAGTGATTTTGTTGGTTTGTGTGCTACAGAGATGCCATGTGGTTGTAATGGTGGTTTCTGAGATGTTTCTGATGTATGGCAA